ATATAGATTCTGTGGAAGGCTGGAGTGTAAAATAGTCGAAATGTCATGAATCTGACAATAAAGTCAAGGACAATAGTCCGAACAATGTAAATAGTGTAAATAGTTACAATATCTCATCTCGGAAATATAGACAGATCCTGATGAAGGGCGGAGTGTACATTGATCGAAACGTCGTGAATATTACAATAAAGATGAGGACAACAGTCCGACCACTGTATATAGTGTAAAAAAAACAGGAAGTTACGAAGAAACATGATCATAAATATATATATATATATATATATATGTGTGTGTGTGTGTGTGTGTGTGTGTGTGTGTGTGTGTGTGTGTGTGTGTGTGTGTGTGTGTGTGTGTGTGTGTGAAAAGTGTGTGTATATAAATGTATAAGTAAATATTTATATATATAATTATTTATATATTATATGCGCGGTACTTTTTGTCTGACGATCGCAAAAGCGTGAAACCCAGGGTCACAAACTCATATCAATCCCAATATAAATATATATATATATATATATATATATATATATATATATATATATATATATATATCTGTGTGTGTGTGTGTGTGTCTGTGTGTCTGTGTTTGTGTTTGGGTAATTGGGCAGCAACTTTTATACAACATTTAATGAATTCTGACAAGGGATACGTTTAAACTTTTTCTTCAGTTTTCTTATGTTCGTGTAAGTGATTACTTCTCTGGCCATAAAGTGTGTAAAACTGCCCGAATGTCCCAAATACCCTGAGCGCTTTCGATTATTCTGTTAGCCATTATAAAGGATGGTTTTAATTGGTTTTTGTTTTATTTTAACTTCATGTATAGATATTTATATGTTTCTAGAGAGGTAGGAATTTTTTTTAAAATTTTCCAAAGATATTGCGGCCGTGTTCATAGTTGATATAAATAATTGTTGGCTTTTTCTCATATATATACAGGGTGACCCCCAAAAATGGGAATTTTTGAAGTGCGTATTGCCAGACATGAGCAAGTGGCAACACTGCGAGGCAGTGACCTTTAGCAAGTAAACATTTCGCCATTTAGAATTCAAGATGAAATTCACAGCATCCCAGCTGAGATGTTGCAGCAGTCAATGAGGAATCACAACAGCAGATTTCAAGAATGCATTCGTACAGGAGGACGCCATCTACAGGACGTAATTTTAAAAAAAAATGAAAATTCCATCATTGTTTCTTAAATGGCATGTTTTAAGGTTTCAATTACTATGAATAAAATATTTTTCTTCCATCACTCTTGGTTTTATTGGATTGTTAAAAAGTTCCCATTTTTTTTGGGGTTACTATATATATATATATATATATATATATATATATATATATATATATATATATATATATATGTGGACATAGGGTTTAACACCGAATAACAATAGACAATATTCAGGCCTTGATCGACGAATGATTCGACGAATGATATTCACTCACTTAGGTTGATAAATTCAAATTGATTTGGAAAAGTTAATCTCTCAATGACGGAGCATTCAGAGGTGGTGGGGAGTTCTGAATGGATTTTTCCGACTGCGACCTTGGTCTAGAGGAAACGGCTTTGCACGCCTTCTATCATTGTCCTCGTGTGCGCTTGTTCTAGGACCATGTTGGTGAGTTAAGGGCGAGTATTGATCTCAAACATCTTGTGTCTATCGATCTCGCATACGCATGCGATATGTCGCTCCGTTCTCTGGGGTGAAACATATGGTGTTTCTCACGTTGCTAGTTATTGCAAAAATGGTGATATGGACGTCGGGAATCGAGGGAATCTTGCGATACGAACACTGTTTTCATCAGCTCCTGGCCCGGTTCTTTCGGCATTAGCTCAAGATCAGAACTGATAGAAAGTGTTTGTGACCGACAGATTTTGGCGAAAGATGGGTAAAAATGGCAAGTTTGCTGCGAGTAAATGGGGCTAGCCGTTATTTTCTTTTTTAAGTCCTCTTTGACGCAACGGATCGGTTTCTTTCCTCTGGTTAAGTTAGAGACTCTTTATTTACCGTGTTAATATGAGTAAATGTTAATTCCTGTCATGTTCCCCGCCTTCGCTTTTGTTACGATCCACTTCAAGATTTCTAATCTCCCCAGTTTGTTTTTGTTCTTTTTTTCATTTCTACTTGGTCAACCTTTGCTTTTTCTGTTTTTTTTTTTTTTTTTTTTACCCTTCCCTCTCAGTCTGCTTCTTAATTCTGTTTAAAAGCGGTCACGCTTATTAATTCTTTGTGGGGATGTTGGATCCTACTAACATATTTTATATATGAATGAATAAACCTTTTTACCTCATATGGGGAATAGACTATTTCGGTAGACGATGAAGGCGGGGAGTCTAACTTTTCAACCTCGATGTGGAATGAAGTTCATCTCCGGAGCGAAAGCCGGAGTTAACTGTAAGGAGATGATATTAGAAGCTAAAGGGTCAACCTAAAACTGAACTTGCCGGAGATACCTAATATAGTGTTCATGCTTTTCAGTGTTTGTCAGACTATAGGCACTAGACAGGAGTCAGGTTGAGTGGTATCTATCTATCTATCTTAAAGGGCAGAAAGTATATTAAATAGGCCAAAAAACATTAATCCTATGAAGACAAAATAGAGGTATTAGAAACAGGAAAGAATAGTTTTAATTTTAAAATTAAAAATGGATTTAAAAATAATTTTTTAAAATATATAAGTTAAGGAGGCCGTCAGGGATTAACGGAAAGAGACTTGTTGGAATATTTCAAGTAGAAGAAAGTTTATAAATTGTAATTAATATAAAATAAAATGATTTTAGAGGAGGTGGGAGTTTGAGGAGGGGTTAGAGGTAAATAAAAAAGCAAAATTACACTGTGAACATTTGAATTTGTTATGTCGGCATTTGAAGATTTAGAGGGGATGGGAGTCTGGGTGTGATTTAGAGAAGCTAATTAAGGCGAAATTATATTATGGAAATTTGAATTTGTTTTTATGTCGACATTTGAACACTAATTCGTTCGTCTGATTCGATAGCTGTTTTTGTATTTTATTATTTTAATTTTTTCTTCTAAGCATAAGTTACGCCTACCTCTGAAGCTTTTGGAAGTTTCTACAGAGCCTAAAAATGTCACAAAACTCATATATATATATATATATATATATATATATATATCGCCCCGGTCTTGGGCTTCACGTTATTACACTTTAGTGTCTATCATACTTTCCCCTCACACTCCCCGTTATAATTTTTTTTTTTATATATATATATTTTTTCCATTTGTGCTGTGCATATTCGCACGGTTTGAAATATATATTTTTTCCCCTCATACCATTAATCATTTCACTTTTAATGTTTTAATTGTATGTAGGGTTTTTGTGTGAGTCAATTTATATTGCAATAATTGTTAAATTGTTCCCAGTCGACCCTGATGAGCTTGGGAACAAAACCGGTTGGTCTATTCTGTAAGTGTTATCATCTCTTATTTTTTTTTTTTTCATTTTTCATAATGCCCTTAGGAAATAATTTGTATCTATTCAATATATATATATATATATATATATATATATATATATATATATATATAGTTGGATTGATGTGAGTTTTGTGTCACAAAATCACATCAATCCAACTAAATACGTTAGCTCTATCACTGATATTGAGCACTTTCCAATACGTACCACGTATATATAATATATAAATAATATATATAAAAATTGCATATATATATATATATATATTTATATTTACACATTTTACACACACTCACGCACACACACACACACACACACACACACACACACACACACATATATATATATATATATATATATATATATATATATATGGTAAGTGTGTTCAATCTCGATATGGATAGAGCGTATGTGGACTCCGAATGGTAAAAGTGAGTCTCATGCTTTGACGCAGTCTTTAGGCCTGAAAAGTCTATATAATTTGTTGATTGGGGTATCAGAGAGAGAGAAAGAGAGAGAGAGAAAAACAGGTAGAGAGACACATTAATGGGAAGCGTGCACTAGATAGTGTTTTGACTTTCTTTGGGCTAGAAATAAAGACACAAGAGGGGAATTCATTTAAACAAATATATTAACAGAAACAGTAATACAAGCATATACAAACAAGAGTGTTACAGCAAGAAAGTTCGGTCCGGCTGTCAGAGCTGACTGCTGGAAACTTCCCTCTTCAAAAGTCAATACCTGTTCCTATTTATATTTTGGAGAGTCCATGCATCCACGGGTAAAATACCATAATAGATAGATAGGGAAAAAACTAAGATAGATAGATAGATAGATAGATAGATAGATAGATAGATATGGTTAAACAGATAAACTTCCCTCTCTAAAAGGAAGTACCTGCTCCTATTTATAGCTTGGAGAGTCTATGCGTGCTTGGGTAAATTACCATGTAAGATAGATAGATAGATAGATAGATAGATAGATAGATAGATAGATAGATAAGCAACTGTGTTTTTTATCATCGTAATTTTGTAACAAAAATAAATGACGCAATGAATAAATAAGACTTGATTTTCATCTCGAAGACAGCAATAAATATAAGGAAGCGACTGAGATAGATAGATAGATAGATAGATAAGGAAGTAACTGAGATAGATAGATGAGCAAATATGTCTTTTTATCATCGTAAATTTGTAACAAAAATAAATGACGTAATGAATAAATAAAACTTGATTTTCATCTCGACGACAGCAATAAAGTCAATAAACTCGACAGACAGAAAAACAACGTTGTTTCAGATATACATACGCATCACATTCACTTTCTTTCTTTTTTTTTTCTCTCCCCACAAACACCAAGTGTTCTGCACCTATCAAGTCAAAAACTAATTTATTAAGAGTGGGAGGAGACTGATTGTCACTACTTTGCTAATACATCATGAGGTAGGTTGTCATGGCAACATCTTAATGTCCACATCATCAACAGCTGGAATAGAAGGCAGAACATGTTTTCAGGAAGTACGCATGCGCATCTCGGCATGTTTTCATGGAGTGGCACAGTCGCTAGGCAATGTTGACTGTGTTCTTTTTCTTTTATGCTTCTTCACCACCGGCACCTAACGAGACTTTGTTCATTAGCGAGATTAACGCTACATCTTTGGTTACTTATCCTCAGATTTCGTGCAGGAAGAAAAGTTCCTGATCCTCTGCGCAGTTGTCAATTTTAGTTTTAACATGAATAAAAATTCCTATCAAAAAAATATTCTGTATTCCGAGAATATATTCGCCATAACATTTTAGCCAACTATTCCACATTCAAAAGAAAATCGTCAAATTAAAAAGAAATATCTAAAATGAACATAGATTCATTGAAAATGTCTTGTTTCGATCCTGTAAGGAAATAGTATATATAAGATGTAATAATTTCTTGGTTAGAACTCGTGTTGGCGTAATGAAAAAAATCTCAATCTCCTGTCGAAATTTTGTGAATACAATCACGTAGCAAATATGATGTTAATTCGCCCCCCCCCGAGGACGATATGTGACATAAGGTCTTTTTAAAGTGGGGACCGGAGCGTGTGCACCCGGGCAGGGACAAAAATTGCCAACAGCCCCCGCAACCGTCGCTTGCTCTGGCCTTGGTGCGAGCACCGATCCCTTCCTCTGGTGCAATGGGAGGGCGCGGACTCGGGTTGCTGTTCCCCAGGGCTGGGCACCTCTTCAGTATAATTTTCCTCAGTTGCCCCTCTGTCCTTTGACAGAGAAGCCCCTGAGCGCACTCTGTCCAAGGACAGAGACGCAACTGAGAGATGATAAGCCATGCGTTAGAAATCCCTCCAAAGAGGAATTTATACGATTCACGTAGCAAATACAACGTGTAATCGGTAACTTGTCACCAATTTATATTTTAATTTCGCGCATGCGCTTTGTTTCTTTGTTATTTTGTTAACTGCACAGTATAGTAAAGTCAGTTGGGCATCGTTTGTGAGAAAAAAAGCACCGTAACGCAATTCACTGTGCCACAAATTTGGAAACAGTATGCTTAGAATTCCTACCGTAAGCTAAATATGAATATTTCAATGTGTTTGAGTGTCGATCTGAATCAGTGGAGAGGATTCAGAAAGAGTTGGATGAGCTTAATGGTGATTACGAAGGTAAGGCAGATTGGAAAACTCACTCTGATCATTCTCATAAAAAAAGAACTCACTCTGATCATTCTAATAAGAATGTTGGCGTCAGATTCAACACCTATTAGGTTGGTGCAAAAAATAATGTCGTTTTTGACGTTAAGTTGAACGTCAAAAAACGACATTATTTTTGCACCAACCTAATACATCAAGTGCTTTGAGAGGTAGTGTTGCTATGTGTCAAGAGCGTGGCAGCTGAAGACCCTATGCCTGGCAATATGACTCTGCACCATGCCAAACAAACAAGAAACCCCAGTCATGACTGCAACCACATCACCACTTAGATCTGGCCACCTCATCTCCCAGACTGCAACCCCTTTGATTATTATGTGTGGAGCGCAGATAAGGGAGAGACCAACAAAGCTCTTTGGAAAACCAAAGATGTATTGAAGGCAAGGATTATGGCAGCATTCATTAAGGAGACAATCCAAAAGAGTTGCAGGAGATTCCGAAATCGTCTGGAGGCCATGAGTAAAGCCAATGGCGATTTTATTGAATAAATTTACTCTTTAGTATTTCAAGATATTTTTCTGTAATTTTGGCAAATTTATCTGCTGAAAAGAGGCACGGTGGAGTAATGGATAGCGGCTCGGATTGAGGAATCGGGGAGCCGAGTTCGAATTCCACTCGAATCTATTACTTTCACTTACGTGCTAATACCCTTGGGAAAGGTATGAATCCTCCTCCCCCCCAAACTATGGGTAAATAGCAGCACAGACTAGGTTCTATAGGCTTGGATGGCAACTGGTCTACCGCAGAAAAAAATGGTAACCTACTGAGGGGAAAATATGCCTCGTCAGTCATGTATCACGCATAACTGACTGATCTGTTGAAATGAGATATCAGCGTAATTTTCATTTTTGCGTCATTTAGATGAAAATTTATCCATCGCACCCTGCATAGCATGTGCTGACTTCCCAACCTTGGCGGATTTTGAGATTGTTTACACAGTCTTGCGACTGAATATTGTTCTCCGTCATCTTACCGACACACGCGACAATTGGCAAATATTCAGATTAGCCCCAATCTTTACAATCCACTAATCCAGACGTCAACTGATAAGACACGACGTGCTTCTTCCACAGAGTCAAATCATCATCATTTACTCCGAATACCAAAAGTGAGAAGAAAGTTCCACTCGGATAGATTTTCTTTCCAAGGAAAGGAGTTCTATGTAACTGACTCCCGCGTTGATGCTTTCTTGAACACTACAATCTTAACCTCTTCGAGTGTAGGCAGAGTTGTTATCTATCAACCTTATTTTGATAATCATAATCATCACTTCTTACTCATTTCATTCATATCACACATGCATAATTCATTTTAACCATTTTAACAGTAATCCCCTACCTTGAGGGATTCTCGAGCCTTGTAGTGGTTGAATTAAAAAGCATGGTCTAAATGGTCAGGTATAATTATATACTCTTTATCCTTATAATCATCACTTCTTATTACCACGTCTTTCATTCATATCACGCACTTTATTCCTCATAACCATTTCAATATTGAACCTTTTCCAGCCTTGCATTGGGTGAATTTCCGTATGTAAAAAGCTAGGTATTGAGATCTGGTAAAATAGAGCTTTTATTTTCGCTGATATATTATTACGATTTTAACCTTTTCAAGTTATCAGGTGTCAATCTTTATCTATCCTTCTTATCGCCATAATCTTCACACTTCCTGCCACATCCTCTTTCGTTTTTAGCACACAACTTATTCATTTGAAAAATTTCGTATTCCTCTAACTGAATGGCTCACGGGTCTTGTATTTAACATAACCACTCATGTCTTTTTTAGATATTCAACCGAATTTTTGCATCTATTTTTTATGTGTTAATTCTAAAAAAAGAAAAGTCAAGTTTCAAAACAGTTTTGAATTTGGGGGAGGAAGAATTTTTATCATTTTTAATTGTTGATTATTGTTTCATTTTGAATTAAAAATAACACTAAAATTAATTATTTCTTTATTATGAACGTATTGCATTTTTAAGAAAACATTTTAAAATAATTAAAAACTAATTTTATTTTCAAAATCGTTATATTAAAATGATCTTCAAGAAGAAATTACAGTCGATTTATTTTTATCAAAATCAATTAAAATGTCATATCATTTAACGATCATGTCTTAATAAATTTTGTTATCGGGGTCGGTGTTGGTCGCTTCGAAAATTGACCAAAACATTTTAATGCAAACTTCAATACAATAAGTTTTATCCATTTTTAATTTTTTTTTATTGCCTGTCTAGTCGGATGTGTTCTTGACACTTTATCTTATAACTATACAGAATTCCACTCATAATATAATGTACTTTTGAAATACCTCATAATAATGAGGTATTTCAAAAGTATTATGACAAAAAAAGTATTATTATTGAAATACCTCATAATTATGAAAATTTATGAAAAGTATTATTATTGAAATACCTCAGTATTATGACAAAAAAAGTATTATTATTGAAATACCTCATAATAATGAGGTATTTCAAAAGTGGGTATTTTGTTTCTCACTGCGATCATAAAACTATGCAGTTTTATAGAGATATAACTTTGACAGTAGTTCAAGTTACACCGACTGAATTGAAATCTTAAATCAGTCAAATAAAGCGTCAAGAGGTATTATATAAACTACTTTCAACGAAAGTTTCATAAAAGCCCTCAGGTATTCGATTCATTCTGATCCCTTCTGCCTGCATTCATAAAAATCTCTCTCTCTCTCTCTCTCTCTCTTTCCCTCACAATTTCACTTTCTCATTCTCTTTTTTGCTTTCTTTCTCTCTCTCTCACTTGCATTCTCTCTTTCTCTCTCTCTCACTCTTACTTTCTTTCTTTCTCTCTCTCTCTCTCACTCTAGATTTTTCTCTTTTTCCTTCAATTTCTCTCTTTCTTTCTCTCTCTCTTTCTTGATCCCTTCTCTCTCTCTTTTTCTCTCTCTTTTTCTCTCTTACCCTCTCTCTTTTACTTTCTCATTCTCTCACTCTTATTTGCTTTCTTTCTCTCTCTCTCTCTCACTTTTATTCTTTCTTTCTCTCTCTCTCACTCTAGATTTCTCTCTTTTTCCCTCACTTTCTCTCTTTCTTTCTCTCTCTCTCTTTCTCGATCACTTCTCTCTCTCCCTATTTCTCTCTGTCTTTTTCTCTTTCCCTCTCTCTTTCACTTTCTCATTCTCTCACTCTTATTTGCTTTCTTTCTTTCTCTCCCTCTCTCACTTGCATTCTCTCTTTCTCTCTTTCTCTCTCTCTCTCACCCTTACTTTCTCTCTTTCTCTCTCTCTCACTCTAGATTTCTCTCTTTTTCCCTCACTTTCTCTCTTTCTCTCTCTTTCTCTTCCTCGCTCCCTTCTCTCTCTATTTTTCTCTCTCTCTCTTTCGTTTTCTCATTTTCTCTATCTCTTTTTCTCTCTTTCTCTCTCTCACTCTTGCTTTCTCTCTTTTCTCTTTCTTTCTCTTTCGCAGGAATGTCGATCGGGAAACGACATATTATTTTAAATACAAATTCCTTACGTATGACAAAATAATACACACCCGATGTGCAACATGTCATGCCTGATGTCTGGCAAAATGAAGCCATTGATTACATGACAAAAATTAACATTTACAGTATGACGTTATATATGCATAATAAACCATTTCTGAGTAAAAAGCTGTTCGGTCATCCAACGATACGACATCGTATTCTATGTAGCATAGCTCTTCAGAACGCTGGCGATCATGGCTCTCCACAATTTCCTATCATTTTTACCTCTTAGTATATTTCGTCTTTTTCCTATCGCCCTTAAACCTTGTTCTACAATCCACAAGCTCCTTAATTAAGTGATTTTCCTCCGTCCCTCTTGCCACTAATATGTCCTGTGATTGTCAAATTCTCCAAACCCTCTTTCCTCATTATGGTCCCTGTCTTTTTTATATTAAACATAAATGTCCTTTTTATTTTATTTTAATAAAACTTGGTCGATGCTCGCTTTTTCGGTCCATTATATTCTCAGCATCCTTCTGTAGAATCATATTTGTGCTACCTCAAATCTCGTCTTCATCTGTGAGGAGTTTGGTGAGCATTCACTGCCATATAGGAGGACCGATATACGATACCAGATCGAGAGATTGGTCTTTTAACACTCTCTCGGATTTAGAAATCGATTAATTAAAATGATAACTAATTATACTAAAATAATAATAATAAAGATGATAACTAACAATAAAAATAATAAAATACCACTACTAATACTCAGTTCAGTTATGTGCCATGCGTGATACACGCTTAAGCGATCATGTATCTTTCGATACATGACTGACAAGGGAGTTTGTTTTTTTTCCCCGCGGTACGTTGCCATTTCTTTCTGCAGTGGATCAGTTACCATCCAAGGCTATAGAACCCGATCTGTCCTGCTATAGCTGGTGGAGAGAAGAAGAGGATCCATACCTTTCGCAAGGGTATTAGCGCGTAAGTGAATTTAATGAATTCGACTGGAATTCGATCTTGGCTCTCCGACTCTTCAATACGAGCTGCTATCCATTATTCCACCGTACCTCCTCCCCCTCCTCCTCCCCCTCCTCCTCCCCTCCTACTACTAATAATAATTATTATTATTATCATTATTATTATAGTTTCTTGATCTGAACCGGTTGGGCCTGCCTGTCACTGAGAGGCTAATGCATTGTGCATCTATATACCTAGAAGTGAGGAGTCGATATCTGTTGACACCCTGAATCAGGGTTTGTCTGAGCGGACTGTGTTCCCCAACCTGACGGGCCCTTGTAACCCCTAACTTGGACCTATCTCAAAGTTTAGCTATATCGCGTACATTTGTCTGTATTATCTTCAGTTTCGATGTCCTGATGGGTACATTGGATGTCATAGATTGGTACACCAGCCGATCTCTCATTCAGTAATAATAATAATAATAATAATAAAATCATAATGCTCAAGTATAAGGCATTATAAATATGGCATAATGTATATTTATATTTTTTGCACGTGTACAATAATTTGTAGGTTTTCTTTCACCAAGAGAAGGGCAGTATCATTGAAACAGCGATATGAAAAATAAATTAATTATTTGTAAAATTGAAGCCTCTTGCTTGTTAATTAAAAGAGTGATGAACAAGTGAAATGAGGCCACCCTTAAAGGAGAAATTGAAAAATGTGTAATAGAAATTTAATATGAAGTATTTATGCTATTTTAAATATAGAATCTGAAAAAGAGGATCCAGCCCAACTCTTTGCCTGTCGAGGGCATTTTCGTGTGTATTATCCAAGCGTCCATGCTTGTTTTGAGATTTATAACTATTGCGAGGTGTGGCACAAAGCTGAAAGTATGGGACGCCAGTGAGGATCGAACTCGCTATTCATTCGTAATTTTTCTTAACCGAGACTTCTAACCATTACACCACGTCGGGGTGTCCCAGGAAAATGATGATATATAGTGTTTCACATAATAAAAAACTGTGAATGTACCAATCATAAGTGATTTACACTGCGCTCTGTGAATCACATGCAATCCATACGTTATAATAAATTTAATAAAGTGTAAAAATAGATGTCTTACTTTTGAGACCCTAGATTAGCAGTCAAGCGTTCCATGTCCGCATATGATGCACAAAATATTAGTTTAGGCCTTTCCTCAGACGTCCTGGATTTTTAAGAAAAACGGCTGAATTTGGTAAATATAAAGCTCTCATTTTCGATCACGACACCCCAAGAGAGCAAGTTGCAAAGCAGATCTTGCAGAAGCTCAAAGAATTTAAATGACCAACTCTACAGAACCAAACAACTCTTTTCTTAAGCGTCCTTTGTTTTAACACCATTTTAAAATCATTAAATCGTGTTCACCACATATAGAAATCACTGGTTCTTTGAATCGTATATGATGCGCAGGATAGACAAAGGGTTAAACACCGATTTACAGAGGTTTCAAGATAAACCATTTCAAAAGAGAAACTATGATCTGGAATTGGAATGAACGCAGTGATGGCACCTACGCTGAATCCATCCTAAAAATACAGGATGTGGGATTAATTCGGTATGCCTCTTGATTCTTTGGGGAACTTAGGGCTGCAACAACACCTCTACAACGGACGCGGTTCCGGGCGATCCACTTCATCTCGGCCCATATCGTGCCGGCTGCCTTCACCTCTGCGTGAACACTTTTCGCTTTCCTTGTGGATTCCTGCCTGGTGCAAATAGAAACAGACTTGCGGAGTGTGTTGCCGGTCCATCCTCTTTCCGTTTCTTGACGTCAATCTCGATTTATGTTTGTATGGTCCTGTTTCACAGTTGGTCATTGGAGACAAATTCCGCCCTTCTGATATTGAGGATGAGACATCGGTTGGTAAATGTGTAAAGTTTCTGGGCATTGGTCTTCGTTACGCGCCAGGTTTCTGAGTCGTAAACTAGGACCGGCTTGACGCTGGTATTGAAGATCCGGATCTTGTAAAGTGAGAGATGTGGAATTAATAAATAATAAACACTACCCCAGCCTACGGATCAGTTTTAGGAAATTTAGTATAGGAGAAAAGGAAATTGAAAATGGATTACGATGCGCTAGAGGTAGTTTCGCACAACACCGCAAGTTGCTACGCAATCAAAACATTAACCTGAAAACACGTGGCATGTTTTTAAATAGCCTCGTCAAATCGATATTCTCATACATGGCACCGAACCAGTTCAGAAATATCGAGCTGCCAGCTATATATAACCGCCTTCTCAGAAAAATGTTTAGAATAGCTTTTGAGTGAGCGAAGCCTATATGTCTTGAAGACCATCCATCTTATTTTAGTGAATTGGCGCTACAGAATCACCTATAAAGAAATGTACCAAATGACAGAAACCGTCAAACTTAAGGACCTGCGACAGCACCAAGGACTAAAATGTATATTGCATGTAAATCCAAGAGAAAATAATGACATTATTGAGATCTTGAGGTTCCACACCACTTCAAAGAAAAAGCTAGGAAGAAAACCTCCCTCAATACTAGAAAGAGCAATAACAGTTATTGGACGCGTGAAAAACCCCTGTTTCCTGAAAAAATGTTTTAAGAGAAATTTTATAAATTTCAACCAACAGAGGCATTGGCGGGTCGGTCGATAAATACAAAACGTTTCCTTATGAAGAAACGGCTTATACTGACATTATATACTAAGCAAAAAATATAATAGTAGACTGGCATACTAGTGTATATATATATATATATATATATATATATAAAACGTCACTGTAACGTGGCTTCCTTGTTTCACTGTAACGTGGCTCCCTTGTCTCATTGTATCGTGGCGTCATTGACTCACTGTAACGCGACTTACTTGTCCCGCAGTAACGTGGCTTCCTTGTCTGACTGTAATGTGACTTACTTGTCTGACTGTATCGTGGCTTCCTTGTCCCACTGTATCGTGGCTTCTTTGTCTCACTGTAACGTGGTTTCCTTGTTCCACTGTAACGTGGCTTCCTTGTTTCACTGTAACGTGGCATCCTTGTCTCACTGTATCGTGGCTTCCTTGTCTCACTGTAACGTGGCTTCTTTGTCTCACTGTATCGTGGCTTCCTTGTCTCACTGTAACGTGGCTTCCTTGTCTCACTGTATCGTGACTTTCTTGTCCCACTGTAACGTGGCTTCCTTGTCTCATTGTATCGTGGCTTCCTTGTCCCACTGTATCGTGGCTTCCTTGTCTTACTGTAAGTGTCTTCCTTGTCTCGCTGTAACGTGGCTTCCTGGTCTCACTGTATCGTGACTTGCTTTTCTCACTGTATCGTGGCTTCCTTCTCTCACTGTATCGTGACTTCCTTGTCTCACTGTAACGTGGCTTTTTTGTGCCTTTTCTATAAACATTTTCATGGCAACTGTTATGGTAAACGATCCTCTTTGCTACCCTGACTTCAGCAATTTAAGCACAGTACTAGACTGGCATCTGTTAAAATTGCCAAATGTAATCGCACGTTCTATTCTATTGATTTCTTCTTTCACACTTTTTCCGCCAATGGAACTCACTGGAATGGAACTCACTTCCGGCTTCTTTCTTTCCTGTTAATTAGAATCTACAGAAGCTTAAATGCAACGGTAATCGCCATCTTCTGTCCCCTTGGATCCTGTTCTTTTTAGTTCTCCTCAATAACTTTTTTTCTCGGTTTCATTCGTACTCAGTAACTCTTTGCGTCTTTTATCGTCTTAATTTGCGGTGAAATGATTTAGAAAAAATGTCACCTCACACATAAGAAGCGATTCGCATTTGGCAGCAAATAGAAAACGTACGCGCCTCGTATTAGAATTCTAGCGACATCAAAAGAGAAATGGGTTACATTGTCGTCGTGATCTTTGACTGTCTCGTTAATTAGACGCCACGCGGAGTATCATTAATACACGTTTTTCTATGTATAAACAATGAGAAGTCGTTTATTTCAGGCGGAATTCGTCACAACGCTGGTTGGTGGGGAGGGGCTGGTAGGATCGGGATTTTTTAGCACAAGACACTACAGAGCTTTAGGCAAACATATGGTC